CTATTCCAGGGATTTATTCCTGGAATGCAGGAATGGTTCAACATATAAAAATCAATCAATGTAATGCACCAAATTAACTGAATGAAGGGCAAAAATCACATGATAATCTAAATTGAGGCAGAGAAAGCATGACAAGATTCAACACCCTTTCATGGTTAAAAAAACAACAATTCAACAAATGCAGAATAGAAGGAAACTACCTTCACATCATAAAGCCCACATGTGAAAAGCCCATAGCTGATCATACTCAATAGTGAAAGACTGCAAGCTTTTCCTCTAAGATCAGAAACAAGGCAAGATGTCTGCTCTGCCGCTTCTACTCAACATAGTTCTGCAAGTCCTAGTCAGAGCAACTGGGCAAGAAAGAAAGAAAAGGCATTCAAATTAGAAAGGAGAAGTAAAATGATCTGCTTGCAGATGACATGATCTTAGATGCAGAAAACCCTATAAGATCACACGATCACACCCACACACACACACACACTTAGAACTAATACATGAATTCATTAAAGTTGCAGGATACAAAATTAACACACCAAAATCAGTTGCATCTCTATACACTAACAATGAACAATCCTAAATGGAATTTTTAAAAATTCCATTTATAAAACCGTCAAAAAAAATGCTTAGAAATAGGCCTAACCAAGATGAAAAACTACACTGAAAACTACAAAACACCGTTAAAAGAAATTAAAGACACAAACAAATGGAAAAAACATCCTATGTTCATGGAGTGGAAGGTTTAATATTGTTAAGATGCTCATACTACCCAAAGTGACAGATTTAAACACAATCCCTATAAAAAATCTCAATAGCCTTTCTTGTAGAAAAAGAAAAATTTATCCTAAAATTCATATGGAATCTCAACAGACACCAAACAGCCAAAACAGTCTTGAAAAAGAGCAAAGTTGAAAGACTCATACCTCCTGATTTCAAAACATATTTCAAAGCTACAGTAATCAAAACAGCATGGTAATGGCATACAGACAGACAAATAGAGCAAGAAAAGAACAGAATGCTCAGAAATAAACCCTTGTGTATATGGTCAAATGATTTTCAACAAAGATGCCAAGACCTCTTGATGGGAAAAGGACAATTTCTTCAGAAAACAGTGCTGGGAAAACTGGATATTCACTGGCAAGAGAATGAAGTTGGACCCTTATCTTATTCCATATACAAAAATTAATTCAATATGGGTTAAAGACCTAAACATAAGACCCAAACCTATAACACTCCTAGAAGAAAACATGAGAAAAAAGCTACATGATATTGAACCTGGCAATGATTTCTTGGATACGATGCCAAAAGCACAAACATAAAAGTGAAAATAGAGAAATGGGCCTAGAGCAAACCTTAAAACTTTATGCATCAAAGGTCACAATGAGTGAAAAGGCAATGTATAGAACTGAAGAAAATATCTGCAAATTACCTATCTGATAAGGGGTCAATATCCAGAATATATAAAGAACTCCTACATCTCCACAACAATAAAGTAAATAACCTCATTTAAAGATAGGCAAAGGACTTGAATAGACATTTCTCCAAAGAAGGTACACAAGCGGCCAATAAGTCCATGAAAACCTGCTCACCACGGATAAACAAAATGTGGCATAAAAATACAACAGAATATTACCGTAGTCCAGCCTTAAAAAGGATGGAAATCCAGTCATGTGCCACAACCTTAAGGTCCTTATACTAACTGAAAGAAGCCTGCCACAAAAAGACAAAAACTGCATGATTTCACTTATACGAGGTATCTAAAGTAGTCAAATTCATAAAAACAGAAAGTAGAATGGTGGTTGCCAGGGCTGGAGGAAGGGGGAAATGAAGCCTTGTTGCTCAATGGGTATAGATGTGCAAGATGAAAAAGTTCTACAGATCAATTAGATCAATTCACAACAATGTGAATATACTTCACAGTGTTGAACTATTCACTTAAAAGTGATTAAGATCAACAACATAAAGAACAAAAAAAGCGGTGAAGATAGTCAAATTTGTTTTGTGACAATGAAAAAGGCATAATTGAGATAATCAGGAAAAAGCAAACACCAACTCTTTACAGTTTCTTGCATGTGAATCCCGTACTCGCCTGTAACATTTACAGCTACTTAACACTCAGACAGTGGAAAGAACACTTCTTTAAAGAGGTCAAAAATCTGCCTGCTCGCCTCAGATCTCCTAACTAGCCATTAGATGACATTCAAGAATCACTGGTAATTTCACTGGATATGATAACAATTTACAGATATGCTTTTTGAAAAGGATTCATACTGAAGCAATTTTGGGGTAACACTATGTTTTCTTTTTTTTTTGAGACGGAGTTTTGCTCTTGTTACCCAGGCTGGAGTGCAATGGCGCGATCTCAGCTCACCGCAACCTCCGCCTCCTGGGTTCAGGCAATTCTCCTGCCTCAGCCTCCCGAGTAGCTGGGATTACAGGCACGTGCCACCATGCCCAGCTAATTTTTTGTATTTTTAGTAGAGACGGGGTTTCACCATGTTGACCAGGATGGTCTCGATCTCTTGACCTTGTGATCCACCCGCCTCGGCCTCCCAAAGTGCTGGGATTACAGGTATGAGCCACCGCACCCGGCCCAACACTATGTTTTCTAAGATTTATGTTTATATACCCCAGCCAAAAAATAAAGAGTACAGGTGGGGCAGAGGTAGCTGAGAAAGGGTGGCAGAATGGTCTCATCATCCTTGTTGAAGCTGGGAGACAGTTACATGTATGAAAAATTTAAAACCAACCAAACCAAGTAAGAGAGAAAAAAAGCAGGGATGGGTATTTGGAATGAATGGCAGCAGGATTAATTTACTGAGATTTTGTAACAGCATTAAATACTACAGACGCTATTGCTAATCTTCAAAGAGCACTGCATTTCAATTTGCGTCTAACAGATTACAAATAAAGAAACAAATGAAATTGAAAGAACGATCAGGCTTCAAGTAATGTTTCTCACCACCTCCCCCAACCACAAATGAAAAAAAAGGTCAATGGTTGAAGAATGTTGAACACAGATTAAAGGTGTCATGGAGAGCTGCCCGCCAGGGCCAGAATGCGCACAGCGAGGGAGAAATTTCTGCTGAAAACCTGTCCACCAAGCCAGGGAAGACAGCCCAGATAGGAGAGGGTGATGATGATGTTTCTCAGATACACAGGAGGGACCTGTTTTCTTTCTGCTAACAGAGTGGATGAAGGGTACGTAAGACCACACAATGATGGCATTCAAGAGAAAGAAGAGAGAGAAGGATGCAGAACTGTTTTAAAAATAGGACTTCCTGAAAGCCAATTTCATCAAGCCCAGGTCACTGAGGAGAAAGATGCAAGATCAAGAAACCAGTGAAATAACACGTAATGGGTGAGACAAACGCTGCCAGCGGCGCCAAGCCTTGGAAGCGAAATGGCACCACCTAGCCCGCCTGGTGAAATGCACAGCGAGAACTGACAGGGAGTAAGGATGATTCACAAAATGAGGTTGGGTCACAAGAAGTGATTTTGGAAGGACAGCAGAGAGAAGAAAAAAATAAGGACACCACCAAAATGTTAACTCAAAGATACATTTTAAACTGCAATGACCCAGTCAACACCTTGGCTTCCTGAGAACAAAAAGGGGGGGTCTCCAGATCCCCCAGAACCCTACTATACACCAGGAGGACAAGGAGGAAAGGAAGAAACCCCCTTTGCCTGCATGCACATGAGGGGAGGAAGGCAAACCCCCAGCAGCTGCTGCTTTGACATGTCACCAGCCCCAGCAGGAGGCACCTCGCTGCCCACTCACTTTCCCCAGGACTGGCTGCTCCATGAATCCTCTGGGCACCTGTGCCCAGCACAGTTCCTTAGCAAGCCCCACTAGAACATTGAAAAATTAACGTAACACTGTTTACTGTGTACACTGGGCCATGTGGAGCTCATGCAGGAGGCTTGGTGGATCCCTCCTGACAAAACAATCTTGAGGTAGATACGGTAATTATCCCCATTTTAGGGTGGATGGAAACCAAGGCTCAGTGACGGAAAGGCACCTGCCCGATGCTGCCCAATGAGTGAGCAGCAGCCTGAGCCTCTCCAGTCAGAGTGAGTGTCTTCCTTCCCCAATGGAGGAAGACTTTCCATCACAAGCTTAAATCACCCAGCAGGAAACAGGCCTGGCTCTGTCTTCTCAGTGAGGCCTTTCCTAACACGAGTGCTCATTGCCATTTGAGCAACAAAGGGTCGGTCTGTTGCTGCTGGCACAAAGGCCAGGCCAACAGGGCTAGAGTCACTCCGGACATCATAATATCTGCCTGTTTGTCTGTGGGTCTAGAAGCCAGTGGGAATGGTCTTACCATTTTGTGGCCAGAGCCTACGGCCAGCTCTTAAAGGGTCAGGCAAGTGGGTTGGAAGCCACCTAGCAGGAAGAACAGTCCCTGCATTCCACAGCCAGGCCCAGGCAGGGGAGCCCGCAGGCCCTGCCGAGGCACACAGCACGGCCACTCCCAAGCGGGCCTCATCTTCCCCTCTGATGGAGAGAGAACCCAGCTGCTCACAGAAAAATCAAACCCAAAGCCGGGGTCGGAGGTAGAGGGTTTGTTTCCTGACTCTCCTTCACGTGGAAGACGTCCTGCACTGAAACTAGCTGACTCCCTTCCAGGCTGCGATCTGTAAGCTGAAATCAGCCTCAAGCAAACCACTCTGGAAGAGCATCGGCTCCCAGGCCCTTGTTTGTTCTTTGGACTGTTCATTGGTGAACTGCGTTTGAATCCTCACTCACCTGCAACAGACGCAGCTGCTTCATCACCATGTGGAAAAGCAAGTGGGAAAGCACCGCTTTTAGTGGGAGGTAGAAGGCCTGGTTTCTAGCCCCAAATCTCCGGCACACCTTGGCATACTGCCTATGCCCCATCTCTCTTTGCCTTGGTTTCCTTATCTCCAACTAGGGAAAAGCAGCCTGTCCCCAGTTTGCTCCCCCAAGGGTTGTATAAAATGAGACAAGGGAGGCGAAGCTCTCTGAATTCCTAAGCAGCAACATTCCCACCATCACGTGGCGCTCAATGTTCTTCTCCCCCGACCTTGCCCCAAAGGCCCAGGAGCACAGTTACACAGCATCCCTCAAGGCCTAGAACAGGAGGAGCTTCGCATTCCGATGGACGATGCTGATGCCCTCCATAGAGGTGATCCTGATAGAACCAGAGGAAAAGAAAATATTCCTCTCCAGCAGCCAGAGGGCCCTCCCATCTTGCCTCTTCTCCCAAATTATGCGGCGACACTGCCCCTTCCCCAGAAAGGCTCTGAATCAGTGATTCTGGAAACCACCTAAGTCCTAAAGACAGTTTTAAAACACCAGGAGGAAAATGCTCCTGCTCCCCCCGGCCCTGCTTTCTAAATGGATTCCTTTTTAGCAACCCCGAGGGGAGGTTCATCCCTGGGAGCTCTGCAGGAGAAGGTCCCCATCCCATGCAATCTTGAAAATAGCGGGGAGTTCTCACATATGTGACCTTAGTGATCTTACAAGTGCATCAAAAAAAGCAACTGGCCAAGGAAACGGTTGAACCAGCCTGAAAATGCCAGGCAGCCCCACCATAAGTCACCGTTTGAGTCAGGCTTGTGACCGAGCGTGTGTGAGCAAGGCTGGGTGGACCAGGCTGGGGGGGAAAAGCAGGCAAACCACTCTGAAGCAGGACGGAGGGTCGAGGGCGGGGGCAAGGGCAGGGCAGAGGCATGCAGGGCAGGGCCAGTTCAGGGAGCCCGCCGCAGGATGAGCTCTGTGATCTCCGCCCTGCTACCCAACCTCATGGGTATCCCGTAGTAGGCTGTGCCTGGGCTGACATATACGAACGTGGCCTGGGCCACTTGGTAGAGACCAGCAAAGAAGGGATTCAGGAGATAGGCTGCTACGTTCAAGGGGAAGATCTGCCCAGCATGTGTGTGCCCAGAAAGGATAAGGTTAATATCTGGCCGAGCCTGGAGAGCTCTCTTGGCAGCCAGAGGCTGGTGAGCTAGCAAGATGATCGTGTGGTCCGGGCTGCAGCCCTCCAGGGCCTTGTCGAGATCCATGCCGTGGCCAGAGTAGTGCAGGATGTCTGCTTCAATATCATCCACCCCAGCCAGGCAGATCCAGTCCTCATCCTCACTCCCACCGCCACTGCCACCACCAACATGTTGGGCCCGGGTGGCGGAAATCTTCACGTTCTCATTATGAAGAGGCCGGACGTGCAGGGACTCCAGCAGTGCAAACCAGTTGCTGACATCCGACGTGTAGTACTCATGATTGCCTGTGACGAAGTAGGCGCCGAGACGTGACTGAAGCTGGTCCAGAGGAGCGACAGCTGTCCGCAGGACCGAGGCTTCCGAGTCGGAGAGGTCACCCACGATCACTGTGACGTCCGGTTCCAGCACATTCACCATCCTCACAAACATCTCCATCTTGGTCCTGCCTACTGTGGGGCCCAAGTGAATGTCTGAGAGGAGCACGATCTTAAGGTTGTTCATTGAGGTGGGCAGCTGATGGATGGGCACCTCCACAGTCTTCACAGCCGGGGGCTGTGCGGCATTCAGAATCCCTGCCACGCTAAGCACAGCCGTCACTCCCACTGCCAAGGCAGGCCTGAGCACCAGCTTCCTTGTCTTGTCAAGGCTGCCCATGACCCTACCACTGCGCCAGGCCAAGAGCTGGCAGGCCTGTTCCATGCCGCTGAGGATGCAGAGGAAGAAGAGCATGATGATGTAGGCACCCAGGCAGGAGTAGGCTACCAAGGAAAAGAGATAAGGCTCCTCGGCCACTAAAAAGAACATGGTGAAGAAACTGGAATGGGCCAGGGCCAGAAACGCCAGAACTACCACCTTCCAAAGCTGAAAACAGGTTGACTCCGCAGCTGGGGAGTGGCAGAGGTTGCTGACCGTGCTGCGCCAAATGTAGAGGGAGCCAATGAGCATGAGCGAGTTGACAAACAGGGCAAGCTGCAAGCGAAGCAGCCAACGCCAGGCCCTGAGCTCAAGGCTCTCTGCCAGAAAAGAGCGGGAGGCGATCATGGACACGAAGACAGTGACGGCAGCCAGCGTGGCCTTCGCGCCTAGGGACAGCTGCCTGAAGACGGCCATTTTCTCTGCTCCTAGAGGCTCCCCCACCAGTTCTGTGCAGGTGCACTGTGGAAATGAGTTCCTTAGAAAGGACAGTGGCCAAGGAGAGGTTTCCAGGTCAACTCCGCCTGCAACCAGGAACCAGCATCAGCTTTGTGGGATATTAGAGTGTCCTTGTACCCATTCAAAACTCAAAGGCCACTTACATCTGCCCAACCCACCTGGGGAATCCAAGCCACTCAAATACCAGTCAGTTGCTAGCTATACTTTATTATTAAAAAATTGTGACATGATGGGCGGTTTTCATTTTCTTACCACATTTTCTATACGTTTAAAGTTTCTCTAGAGTGAGCATGAACTTGTTTTATAAAAACATTCCAAATCAGCGTATTCAAAGTGTGGTCTGGAGACAGCCCCTCAGGGGTCCATTTAGTCAAAACTGTTTTTATTATAATGCTAAGCCATTACCACCTTTTCCACTCTCACTCTGTCCTGAGGGTGGTTTTCTAGAGGCAATGTGACATGTGATATGGTAACAGATTGAATGCAGAAATAAACATGAAAATCTCACTGTCTTCTGTTAAGAGACATTGAAAGAGATTTGCAGAAATATAAAACAGTACAACTTTGCACCCTAACATATGGGGAGAAATACTGTTGTTTTTCAAATATATTTATTGTTTGTTCATGTGTAATGATGTATTATTTATTAACAAATAGTTTCACATGTTCTCTAGGGCTGGGCACGCTGGCTCACACCTGTAATCCCAGCACTTTGGGAGGCTGAGGCAGGCAGATCACCTGAGGTTAGGAGTTCAAGACCAGCCTGGCCAACATGGTAAAACCCTGACTCTACTAAAAATTCAAAAATTAGCCAGGCCCGGTGGCAGGTACCTGTAATCCCAGCTACTCAGGAGGCTGAGATAGGAGAATCGCTTGAACCTGGGAGGTGGAAGTTAAAGAGCCAGATTCTGTCTTAAAAAAAAAAAAAAAAGAAAGAAAACATTTTCTTAATTTCTAGGACAGCTAAAATTTGAGAACCACTGTTCTAAAGAAATGTAAACAAGGAGATAATGGAAAGCCAGATTACAGGTATCTTTCTTCAGCTGTGGGCACAGGAGCTCGACAAGGACACGTAGGCACCTGACATGAGAATTCCTAGGGTGATGCCAGCCCCCTTGTGTGGGCCTCAGGTATGCAGCCGCAGGGCATCCACCCTGACCCGGTGACGCTGCAAAAGGCTAATGAGCTCACATCAGACAGAGGGATGCTGTCCACCTGTTCCTGGTTCATAAATCCTTCTCTCCCCATCCCCACCCCCACCCCCAGGCACTGGTTAAGATCTGGCTTCCCCTAGCCTGTTACCTGAACCACTGTTCTCCTGAACTGTTCCCCAGTTCCACCTTATCCAGTGGTTTTCATAGCTGGCTATGTCCGACTCCTACGGTCCTACAGGCCTTCTGGACAAGAAAACTGTCTACAAACCGGGATAGAGGAACCACAGACGGGTGAAGAGGGAGCAGCAAATACTCAATCTGTGCCAACTGTTTCCAAAAATGAAAACATTTTCAGCAGCTGTTTTCCAAATACTTAAGATGTTCAATCTTGGTTGTGGGTAAAAGTACCACTTTTCCCCGCCCCTAGGCGCGTTATTGAAAGCCTTGTTAAAGGGTGTAACTTACAAGTCGACGGTGTCAAATGCCGCCAGCTCTTAAAGCGTGCTGAAGGCTCAGCCCACCTATACGCTGGAGGAACCAAAGTTGGTCCGCGGAACGTGCAGAGGAGTAGCTTGCAACCACCCGCCCTCCCTTCCCAGGTGTGACGCAGACCTCCTCAGGCTGTCGCCGCGGCTCGGACGTAGCGAGTGACGCTGTCCTTCCTCTCCCACCAAACGTGAACGCCCCGCACCTCACCTCACCTCCTCGCCTCGCCAGACCTCCCACCATCAATGCTGGCATCCCCCAGCAGCCCACCTCTTCCCCCTCCACACCCCCCATAACCTGGACCGCCAAACACCGAAGGAAAAGGGCCCCACAAATACCAAGAAAAACCCAAGCCAAAGAGCAGGCGACGGGGAGTGGCGAGAAGGGAACAAGACATACGAAGAGGAAGAGCACCCAGAGGGAAAATAACGCCGAGTTCCCACTGCAGGGGCCTTTCCTGACCCCGTTTTTCTCCTTCCGGAGCGCTCCGCAGAGCACGGACTGGGAAAGGGAGGGCGACCCAAGCCAGAGCCCGAGAATGCCAACTTAGGAAACGTTCATGCGCACCTCGTCTCACCCCCCTTGTTACAGAAGGGGAAGTGGGCCCAAGCGCAAAGCGCGGCCGGAGCGGAACGCACCAGCGACGGAGCTGCCGCGAAGGACGCGCGCCCCGCCCGGCCCGCCCCCGACGGGAAGGCCGGTCCACTGCCTGCGCGCCTCCGGCCTGCTGGGGGCACTTCGGGGCTCAGGCTCCCCGCACTGCGGGACCCCGGGTGGCCGCGGCCCCAGCCGGGTTCCCCGCCAGCCTGTCCCCTCGCAGTGCCTCCCCGCACCCGGGTCCCGCAGACTTACGCGCAACCCGCGCGCAGGGCGCAGAAGCAGCAGCGCCAGTAGCAGAGGGAAGATGCGAACCAGGACCCCCGGCATGACCACCAGCCTCCCGGCTCTGCAGTCGGCGCCCAGGCCAGCAGCTCCGCGTCACCTGACTAAGGACCCACGGCCTGGCACCGCCCCTCGTCGGCCCAGCAGCCAGCCCTCGCGCCTGCTCCGCCCCGCGCTCCGCCTCCCGGTGGCCGAGCCGGGCGGGTGGGGGCGGCGAGGAGGCTGCGCCAGCGCGTGACTCCGGGATAGTACTATCTGGGTTTTGCAGGCGTCTGCTCGGGGAAGGGACCCTTTGGAACGGCAATCGGGAGGCCCTGCTTTCAGCAGCTTGATAACGCGCCTCGGAGATTTGACAGTAATCGTGGTCTCCTTGTTCCCTGGCTGCCTTGAGAGAGCCGAAGAAGGAAATTGTTAATCACTAAACCTAAATGCCTTAGATCGAACCCGCGTCTCATATACAGGGCTCTTCGAAAAAAGAAACCAGGGGTTAGCACAGTGAGATCGGTCCCTGGATCCACTGTATCAACTCACCTGGAATTTGTTAGAATGCAAATTCTGGGCCCAGCGCCGTGGCTTATGCCTGTAACCCCAGCACTTTGGGAGGCCGAGGCAGGCGGATCACCTGAGGTCAGGAGATCCAGACTAGCCTGGTCAACAGGGGGAAACCCTGTCTCTACTAAAAATACAAACATTAGATGGGTTTGGTGGCGCATGCCTGTAATCCCAGCTACTCGGGAGGTTGAGACAGGAGAATCTCGAAGCTGGGAGGCGGAGGTTGCAGGGAGCCGAGATCTCACCATTGCACTCCAGCCTGGGCGACACAGTAAGACTCCGTCTCAAAAAAAAAAAAAAAAAGAAAAGTTATATGCTGGGGCCCAGAAACTCTGAATCAGAAGCTCTAGGGTTGGGGACCAGATACCTGTTTTCTTTTGTTTGCTGTTGAAGCTGGAGTGCAGCCCAGCCCATAATCAGTATTCACTTTTATAGACATCTTTCCCACCGTTCGAAAACCAAACTACGGTTTTTAGAAGATCCACAAGTTGTAGCAACACTGTTACAGGAAAAATTGTTCTAGCACTTGTTAAAATGGTAAGGAAGGCTTTATTCGAGCCCCCACGCTCAGCTAATTTTTGTATTTTTAGTAGAGACAGGGTTTCACCATGTTGGCCAGGATGGTCTTGATCTCTTGACTTCATGATCTGCCCGCCTCGGCCTCCCAAAGTGGTGGGATTACAGGCGTGAGCAGACTGTATCTGTTTTTAGAATAACTTTAAGCAGTTATTTTTTACTTTTAAAAAGTTAAGAAAAAAAAACCTTAGTTTGTGCCTTCGTGTTCAAAAAAAACCTTTTCTGTTGTATTACAAAATAGCCAAAATTCTCTTGCTCATCCCTTTCTCCTTTCCTACTGGACATTTCTGTGAGAGATTGAGAAAGTATCAGTCACTGGCTTTCTTTCTCAGGTTTTTGTTTTTGGTTTGGGGGTTGTTTTGTTGTTGTTTTTTTTTTTTTTTTTGAGACAGGGTTTTACTCTGTCACCCAGGCTGGTGTGCAGTGACACAATCATGGCTTTGGCCTCCTGGGCTCAAGTGATCCTCTGGTAGTGGCTGGGACTACAGGGGTGCACCATCACACCCGGCTAATTTTTGTATTTTTTGTAGAGACAGGGTCTCACCATGTTACTAAGGTGGGTCTTGGAGTTCTGGGATCAAGCAGTCTACCTGCCTGGACCTCCCCAAATGCTGGGATTACAGATCTGAGCCACTGCACCTGGCTTCTTTTCATGCCTGAAGTACCAGGTTCATGTCCTCGCACTGTGAAGTCCTTTCCAAGCTCTGCAATTCTAGTTCAATATAAAAGAGCAAGGACTCTGGAGGCAGTACACTCGAGGTGGAATTCCAGCTCCGCCACTTACCATCTGTGGACTGTGGGCAAATTACTTAACCTCTCTGAGCCTTAGTTTCTTTGCTGGTAAAAGAGAGATAATAATATCAATTTCACCAGGTAACTGGGGAAAGAAATTACCAGAGATGATGATGATAAGAAGCTTGGCAGGGCCGGGTGTGGTGGCTCAAGCCTGTAATCCCAGCACTTTGGGAGGCCAAGGCGGGTGGATCACGAGGTCAAGAGATCGAGACCATCGTGGTCAACATGGTGAAACCCCGTCTCTACTAAAAATACAAAAAATTAGCTGGGCATGGTGGCGTGTGCCTGTAATCCCAGCTACTCGGGAGGCTGAGGCAGGAGAATTGCCTGAACCCGGGAGGCGGAGGTTGCGGTGAGCCGAGATCGCACCATTGCACTCCAGCCTGGATAACAAAAGTGAAACTCCGTATCAAAGAAAAAAAAAAAAGAAGCTTGGAATATACAGGATGTTAGTGGGACAGTTGATGAAATCAAGTTAGACTTATATGTTAGATGAGTACCATGCATCAATGTTAATTTCCTTTGCGTGTGTGTGTGTGTGTGTGTGTGTGAGAGAGAGAGAGAGAGAGAGAGAGAGAGAGAGAGTCTCACTGGAGTGCAGGGGCGCAATCTGGGCTCACTGCAACCTCTGCCTCCTGGGTTCAAGTGATTCTCTTGCCTCAGCCTTCCAAGTAGCTGGGATTACAGGCATGCGCCACAATGCCCTGCTAATTTTTGTATTTTTAGTAGAGATAGGGTTTCACCCTGTTGGCCAGGCTGGTTTCCAACTCCTGACTTCAAGTGATTTGCCCACCTTGGCCTCCCAAAGTGTGGGGATTACAGGTGTGAGCCACCATGCCCAGCCGCATCAATGTTAACTTTCTGATTTTGATAATGGTACAAGGTCTAAAGATTAAATAATAGTTTTCTATTCATATATCGATTTTGGTAATGGTAATTTTGGTAATGGTTACATAAAAGAACATCCTTGGTTTTTAGGAGACAAAGGGGCATCATTTTTGCAACTGACTCTCAAACAGTTCACACACACATACAAAAATAGGAGAGCGAAATGGTATTCCAGGCACGAAAAGAACCTGAGGGAGAAAAGCAAATGTGGTAAAATGTTAACGTTTGGAAAATCAATGAAGGAATTCTCTGTACTCTTTTTTCAACTTTTTTTGGTAAGCTTGAAATCATTGCAGAATGAAGTTTCAAAACAAAACAAAACAAAATCCTTAGCACATGGCAGATTCAACTTTTTAGCCTTCTTTCCTACTCTGTAGACTCAAGGTTGTCATATGCAGTAGGTATTTTTAACTGAACTGAGGTAGAAAGGATTTAGAGCAGGAGTTGGCAAGCTAAGGTCAGGGGATCAAATCTGGCCTGCTGCCTGTTTTTCTTTCTCTTTTTTAAAATTCTTTTTACTGACTAAGAATCTATGCATTTTGCTGCCAGTTTTTCTATGGCCTGCCAGCTAACACTTGTTTTTACATGAATGAAAAAAAAGCAAAATAATATTTGACATTTGAAAATGATACGTTTCCAGCATCAGTGTCCATAAATAAAGTTTTGTAAGGTTGGTTTTTGTTTGTTTGTTTTTGGTTTTTTTTGAGACACAGTCTCGCTCTGTCACCCAGGCTGGAGTGCAGTGGTGCGATCGCAGCTCACAGCAGCCTTGAACTCCTGGGTCCAAGCAGTCCTCCCACCTCAGCCTTCTAGGTAGCTGAGTAGCTGGGACTATAGGTGAATGCCACCATGCCTAAATAATTTTTTTTTTCCTAAAGACCAGATCTTGCCTTGTTGCCAGGATTGGTCTTGAACCCCTGGCCTCAAGCAGTCTGCCCACCTTGGCTCCCAAAATGCTAGGATTACACATAAATAGTTTTCTTAGAACACAACCACCTACCATTGTCTTCATATTGCACATGGCTGCTTTCATGCTACAATGGTAGAGTGGAGTAGTTGCAATCTTAGGACCTACAAAACCAAATATATTTATTTTCTAGCCCTTTACAGTATAATCTTGTCAAAGGAATATAGATTGTAGTTTATTTCTGCCACTTTTAGTACTCGACTTTGTGTAGTAGTTGAAATAGCAACAGTAACAATGGCCATTGTTGTGCTGAATGCCCGTCTCTATTCCTCACAATTGGAGTTGCATGCTATTCTCCACTTTTCACAGATGAGAAAGCTGCGACAGCGGAGTGAAATGACTTGCCAGTAGCCACAGATCTGGGAAGCAGTATAGTCTCTAAAGTTACATTGCCTGATGTTTGGGCCTGAGTTGTTTACACAAGGCTATACTTCTGCCCATAGTGTACTGTTTAGCTCCTGTTTAAATGCACAGATAAAGTGTGCCGGGATGCAAAGTCCCCTGCCTACTGGAAAATATGTAGGAACCACGAGAAGGTTGTCACCCTGGCCAGGCACAGTGGCTCATGCCTATAATCCCAGCACTTTGGGAGGCCGAGACAGGCAGATCACAAGGTCAAGACATCAAGACCATCCTGCCCAGCATGGTGAAAACCTCTGTCTACTAAAATACAAAAATTAGCTGGGCATGGTGGCGCACGCCTGTAGTCCTAGCTACTCAGGAGGCTGAGGCAGGAGAATCGCTTGAACCAGGGAGGCAGAGGTTGCAGTGAGCTGACATCGAACCACTGCACTCCAACCTGGTTCGAGACAGAGCGAGACTCCATCTCAGAAAAACAAAAGAGAAGGCTGGCAGCCTGCAGGCACTCATCTCTGAATTTGGTACATACTCTAACATA